GAGAGAGAGAGAGAGAGAGAGAGAGAGAGAGAGAGAGAGAGAGAGATCCTTCCCTCGTTGTTCTGAGCATCGCCACAATCAGTGTAATTGCTTAATCACTTTGATGAGGGAGGCTGGCCCGGACAGGAAGAAAAACACAAAAAAGCAACAGAACCCATCGCGGAATGTTCAGCTGCAATCTGATATAGTGAGGACACAGCAGCTCAGAATGCATGTTATTACATTGTGTGTTGGTTATGATTATGGTAGCTGTTTTTTTTCTTCTCTTGATGATGAAACATAACAGAAGCCCTGCAGCTCCCGGCAGGCATTCCAACAGCACAGCTTAGCAGGTGGGAAGCCAGCTGGGGACGATGGCATCGTTTTTTACGGTACACCTTTCTCGGCATCACAGCCATTGGGGAGGCGCTCTTTAGCGAAGCACTGAAGCCTAAAACGGTTCCAGTGGAGCTGCTAGTGAGTGGCAGTGTCCGGCTGTGAATGTGTGTAACTGTGAAGGGGGAAACAACCAAATAAAATACACAGGTGTTTACCTTCTCCTAAACTCACCAACAGTTAGTGTTAGTTAATTACTAATTTGCATATTTAAACATAACATATCAGAGAACTTACAATACAAAAAAAGATGTTTTAATGTAATCAACTGGGAGAGTTTAATGGTGATTGCTATAAGATGCATTTTTTTACCCTATTCAGCAGTATAGTGTCTTAAACGCATGGCATTTTTACAATAAATATCTTTAATTGTGTCTATATGAGCCAGAAATCTCCTTCAGTAGCACTTACAAACACCAAACTTTCCAGTATCCTTCCTATCTGTATTGTGAAAGTTTTTCCTGAGGGGTTTGTTCCTATCTTATTTGTAGCCTGATCCATAGAACATTTCATTGTTGAATGATAAAGAGATATTGAAAGTTCCTTCATTACACCGTTTGACTCTAATATGTAATCAAAATGAAACAAGAATTTTGAGCCTGGCTTTATCCAATGTCCACATAGTATCTGTTCTGGAAATGCAAATTAGCGCAAATCTAAGATAATGCCTTATTTGTATATCTAAACACATTTCACGGTTCTCAAACTTCTTCTGCCACGCCCCACTTTGGAGGAAAAAAAATGTTCATGCCCCACCGCCCCAGCAAAATTGTAACAAAATGGTCCATGTTGAATTTAAGTTGTATCAGAATTAGTGGCTGCAATGAGCTGCTTTCCACTACAGATCTTTTTAAAATGGGGTTGCAGACTTGATACGGCCACTCTCAATTCATGCTCAATGTTGATCTTAGATCTGTATTTAGTTTTGAGAGAGGCAACAGCAGAAAAGACGATCTCACGGAGATGTGGCGAAGGGAAGCAGAATGCCCACAGCCCTCTGTCCCATGAGTGGATGCTCCCTCTCCACACCGAGCCAGAACTCACTCAGTGTTTGAGCTGTAAACCTCAGCCTCCGGGTAGAGTCGGACGTCATCTCGATAATGTCTCTTCATTTTGCACACTAAGCTACACATGTGAGCCGCCAAGGATCTTGGCCGTCGCGCATGCTCAAGCGTAACCCGTTAACGGCGTAACGTAAACATTTACACGAAAGTACAGGCATGTATTCATGAATGACTTAGTTTTATGTCCGTGTACTTTGTAGTTTTGTAATATGTGAAGTTCTCAATAAAGATGCACTGCCGTTACCCATGCTGTGGCCAGTATCTGAAATGTGATGAAGTTACCAAGGAAAACACAGACACAATGTTATTGGATATTTATTGTAGGACTTTGGATGCTGGGAGCCATGTGCACAGCTGGGACAAAGATGTTCCTTTTAGTTCTCCCTGCAAACAAACAAATAGACAACTGCAGTGAGTGACTGATTGAACAGGCCAGATTGTAAGAATGTCTAATTAGTTATGTGGCAGAACAATATTGTATATATATTGCCAAGCTAAAGATAAAGGTTAATTTAAATATTGCAACAACTCACCTCTTCCTGTTTCCTCTTCCCAGGGTGTTTGGGCAAAAGAGTTCCCCAGGGGCTCGAGCACCCGTTTATAGTTCCGGGAAGTATCAACTACAGGAAGTAGGGGGGAAGTGAAGATATGTGTTGCTCTGTTTATTTAGATTAATTATTTGTTTATAATTTACTCTATTTCTATTCTATTGATGTTTGTGGATTGGTGAAAAAAATGTAAATATTTATTGTACATATATTGTTATCGATATACTTACCTATAGATGGTATGTCTGGGCGAATTAGAGTGACCAGGTGTATATAAGGAGCTCAGTTCGTTTGTGTAGGGCAGGGGTCGGCAACCTTTACTATCCAAAGAGCCATTTTGTCCTATTTTCCACCAAATAAAATTTGTCTGGAGCCGCAAAAGCTATTTGATATCACGGCTTATAAAGTGTTATATATAGTTATATTATATATACAAAAACTATAGTTTGTTGTATTTATGAAAATATAGAACAAGAATAAAGACAATTCTTAACATTTTATTGCAATACGTGTTATAACAATATCAAACTCTTATGAAGAGGAGAGTTTACAGAGGCCGGGGGTCTGAAAATTATGATTAGCCACCGGCAGGGAAAAGCGCTTGACAGGGGTAAAGGATTTAACTGCCTGTGGGAATAATTAACATATAAGATTTTGTTCATTCTTGCTTATAAATTATATTCTCTCTGAACACGTTTCTCTTTTTGGAGAGAGTCATGTGAGATAACTTCAGCGCAATTTCCCTGCTCTTCTTTCTATTTCCTCGTCTCAGCCCCGTGTGTCACGGTGTGTGTAAACCTCGCTCGAGTCAGGAAACTTGTCAGAATACCCATATTTGATTGGCTGAGCTGCATCACCTGATGTGATTTGCAATCCATTGGTCGGTGTGTTTCCTGCACCGCCGAACAAGTGCCGTAACGGCTGAATAAGAAGCGCTGGTTAAAGTATAAACTCAGTGCCTAATATGTATAATTCCGAATTATCTATTGGATTTAGGTCCTGGGTCCGGATCCGGTCCTCCAGTTGGGGACCCCTGATGTAGACTCAGGGAGCCGCAGCAGAGAGGCTGAAGAGCCGCAGGTTGCCGACCCCTGGTGTAGGGGAACTGGTGGAGACTAGTAGACACTGGTGTGAACTTTGGTGTGACATTAGAATGTAAAAATAAATTAAGCTCCATCTGAAGCCTCTTCTGGACTCCGGATCTGCTCATATTCCTCTATGTCCGCTCAGGCATCCTAACAACGGGACAAAACGGCATTATTTGTACAAACGGCAAAGAACAAGAAAAAAATGGAGTAAGCACTCTCTCTGCATATTCCGATTGGATAACGACGCGTGCCATGAATCTGAGCATAATATCCACGCACGGAGGAGATGCGCTTATTAATAATCCGTATCTCTATCATCTTTGTTTTTTTATAGATTACAACTAGCTATCACTAGATGCACAGTCAAGTGTTAAAAGTCAGAAATTATATTAGCAAGCACTTTTTAAAACTATGGTGAAAACTGAAGCGAGCAGTGGTCGGTAGAAGCAGAAAATCATGTTTTAGCCGCCTGAAAAAGATTCCACCTAAAAAAATAAAATGAAAATAAGTTCAAGTGTACACTTGATTTGTAAAGTTTAAATGCTTTACCTTTCCGTCCAACAGCCCTTTCTGCCCACGGAACCGGAGACGTTATGTCGCTCTCTTCAAAGCCAAAAGACTCCACTGACGAAAACAGCTGCATCGCCGGGTTTAGTTGGTTTTGTGTTATTGTGACTTTTGGATGCAAACTAACATTGCTAATATATAGTGTATTGCTTAGCTTCAGTGCTGGTACTCCTGTGTCTGCTTCTCCACCCTGGAGCGGGCTGTAGGTAACACACACTGACTATGGATATACAGGTAGTCGTCGTCACCCAGAAATGTGTTTCTTGAAGGGCTTGGCACTAAAGCGTACGTACTTCGATCAAAATTTGAAGGTTTGGATTTGAATACATAAAGAACACCACAAAGGGGGCTGCAGAATAATATAAAAACCTACCCTGGACCAGCCCTTTAAACTTTCAGCATTAATAAATACATGTTTCAAGTTAGGGACTCAAGTGATGGTTGTGGTGAGTAACAGAGTCTCTGCAGCACAGGTGGACACCATAAGTCTCACGCTGTACTCCCTCTGCTTCCTGCTACATTCCCCTGCTGCGTGTTTGCAGAGTCACCCTCATTATCATAAGCTGTTACATTAGGACTTTTCTACAAGGAGCAGACGGACACAAGCCCCCCAAACCTCACACACACACACACACACACATTTATCGTCCCTCCACAACCCCCCCCCCCCCCCCCCCCCCCCCACATTTCTCCCCCCCCCCCCCCCCCCCCCCCCCCCCATCCTGTAATACATACTCCTTCCTGCTTCCCCCAATCTTAAATGACTAAACTCAAGGCTCCAATG